AAAATTTTGTATTAATTATAAATATAACTACCTAAAACTAATTTGTCTTTAAGTAGAAGAAATTGGAAATTATTCCCTTGTCGACGAAAAATCATGATTTAGAAATAAGCGAAAATATTTTTAAGTTTTGCGCTTCAACTTTTACGCGTATTTCGAAAATGAGAAATGGTAAAACAAGATCAAATCTTATAAATACTCACGTTAATTCAATTCAACTACAATGAGGAGTAGTTCTCGATGTACAAAAATGAAATAAAAAAACTATTGATACTTCAAGTTTAGGTTCACTAATAATAAAAGTTATAACCGAACTTCTATATTGTTCACGTCGACTCGCGCTTTTGCACCAACTGATCGCAGCTACCAATGCAAATAACTTAAATAGGCTGATAAGAAGTCGCGGTTGACACAGAGGATTCCGCGTGATTTCGACCGATTCTTTACAAAATACAAGTTCAAGTTCGACGAAGGTACAAAGATCAGAATATCACCGGATGCCGGCGTCGTGGACTCGCGCTGTCGGTTCTTCTTCGCCAACGTGGTATAACAGTTTTGCCATCATCATCGGCAATCATCCATCTCCAACATACATTCGCTGGTCCAATCCGTTACGAGCTCGTTACCGGCAAGAATGGTATCACGCCATGTCGTCCGTGTTTGCACGTTGCCTTTGATTTGGCGGAAGCCCGTGGCGTGATACCGGCGCTAGCCCCGTGCCCCACGTCCCGCAGGGATGCCCCATCCATTTGGACGCTACGCGCCGTTGACTAACATAACGACGACGCTGGCCGCACGTAGAAACAACACGGCGACGGAGACGACGCACGAGATCACATTGTGCCTTCCAACGCTAGACTCGACGACGACGACGGAGACGCGACCTCCAAAAAAAAAACACCGACTTATTACTAATTGCGAGATATCTCTCATGGTTGCCCCATTGCTCTTTTGATCTGAACTTGGAACATGGCGATGGTGTTCGAAAGTTGCACTCTTGTTGCTCATGTATAACAGCTATTTCGAGCGTCCTACTAATTAGCATCGTATTATCCAAAAATTTTTATATTTTTCCGCGTTAATCCAGATCGTTAGCAATCACCATTGTTTAATGCAGTATCAAAGCTTAAACAAAATGTTTAGACTGAAATTTGATTTTTCAACATGTTTTAGTAAGCATTAATAAAGTACAAGCAAAACGTTTTATCATACAATAATTAGATACGATAAAGATTGCTAATCATTGTTTTTGTAGATATTGATCACACTACAATACTTTTGTATTGTAATGTTACTCCACTAAAAACATTGTCCGTATGTATTCACCTGATGTAATTGTCAACACCATTTGTAGTTAATCGCCCACAATATTTATTTAATACTGGACTGAAATCATCAATAGGTAATTTATCGTACGACGATTTCAGGTATCTATGGTGTCAATAAACATTTCAGTACAGAGTACAAATCCTTGAATATTCCCACATGAGTATTGATGCAAATTAGTTTATCACATAGTGATTGCAACAAGTGACCGCATCATTTCTATATAATACTAATAGAAACTGCACGTGTAGCGATTCCAACTGCTGTTTCTCTTGACGTATAATATCAATAAAACGTGCACTTTATTTCATATTGCAATCTTCAGTAGGATTTCTTCCTTTTTTTTTAACAGATCCGCATCCATATGAAAACTAAATAAATATGTATGTAATTCGTCTCGTAGTTTATCGTATAGTGACTGCAACTGATCTCTGTTATCGTACAGTGTTAGCAAAAACTGCAAAATATCCCTTGCGGCAATCCACACTACAATATTTGCACATTTACAAGTCACCCTTCTTATGAATAGTATATAATTAGTTCTGCAGTTCATCGTATAGTAATTGCAACTGCTACATCTGTCAAGGCTGCACATTGTTTCATACTACAATTTTCAGTTGGATTTCTTCGTTTTTTATAGGTCCGCATGTATATGAAAACCGATTATGTAATTATATTAATAGTTCATCGTATAGTGATTGCAACTGGCCTCTATTATCGTATAGTGTTGGCAAAACCTGCATAATCTCTCTTGTGATAATTCACAGTACAATTTTGTGCATTTACAAATCGCCCTTCTTATGAATGGTATATAATTAGTTCTGCAGTTTATCATATAGTGTTTGCAACTGCTACATCTGTCAAGGCTGCGAGTTATTTCATATTACAATTTTCAGTTGGATTTCTCCGTTTTTTACAGATCCGCATCGATAAGAAAACTGAATACGTAATTGGTTTGGTAGTTTATCGTATAGTGATTGCAACTGGCCTCTATTATCGTATAGTGTTGGCAAAACCTGCATAATCTCTTTTGTGATAATCTACAGTACAATTTTTGCCCATTAACAAATCGCCCTTCTTATGAATGGAATATAATTAGTTCTGCAGTTTATCATATATTGGTTGCAACTGCTACATCTGTAAAGACTGCACATTATTACATATTACAATCTTCAGTCGGACTTCTTCGTCTTTTACGGATCCGCATATATATGAAAACCGATTATGTAATTATATTAATAGTTCATCGTATAGTGATTGCAACTGGCCTCTATTATCGTATAGTGTTAGCAAAACCTGCATAATCTCTCTTGTGATAATCTATAGTACAATTTTTGCCCATTAACAAGTCGCCCTTCTTATGAATGGAATATAATTAGTTTTGCAGTTTATCGTATAGTGTTTGCAACTGCTACATCTTTCAAGGCTGCACATTGTTTCATACTACAATTTTCAGTCGGACTTCTTCGTTATGTAATTCGTTTCGTAGTTTATCGCATAGTGATTGCAACTGGCCTTTATTATTCTATAGTGTTAGCAAAAACTGCACAATCTTTCTTGCAACAATCTACAGTACAATTATTTTTGCGCTTTTTCAAATCGCCCTTCTTATGAATGGTATGTAATTAGTTCTGCAATTTATCATATAGTGTTTGCAACTGCTGAATCTGTAAAGACTGCACATTATTTCATATTACAATCCTTAGCCGGATTTCTCCACCTTTTACAGATCCGCATCGATATGAAAACTGAATATGTAATTATATTACTAGTTCATCGTATAGTGATTGTAACTGGCCTCTATTATCGTATAGTGTTAGCAAAAACTGCACAATATCTCTTGCGGCAATCCACAGTAGAATTTTTCCGCATTTACAAATTGCTGTTTTTATGAGAAGTATATAATTAATTCTGCAGTTTATCATATAGTGATTGTAACTGCGATATCGGTAATAGCTGCATGTTATTTCATATTACAATGTTCAGTCGGATTTCTTCTTTTACAGATTCGCATCTATGTGAAAACTGAATATGTAATTAGGTTCATAGTTTATCGTATAGTGACTGAAACCGACCCATATTATCGTATAGTGGTAGCAAAAACTGCACAGTCTCTCCTGCGGTAATTCATAATACAATTTTCTGCGCTTTTACAAATCGCCCTTGTTGTAAAAGGTAGTTATCTACGTAATTAGTTCTACAATTTATCGTGTAGTGATGGCAGGATTAAGTTTATTTCATACTACAATAATAGTTTCATCGTTTATCGTATAATGTTTACAGCTGATGTGTATTATCATATAATGTCAGTAAAAATTGCAAATTCTCTCATGTTGCAATCCCTGGTAAGATTTGTTAGGCTTTTGCAAATCCGTAATGGATATGAGAATTGCATCATTAGTATCCAAATTTATCGTGTAAAGAATGCAACTGCTTTTTTTCTTACGATATAGTAGAAATGGTAAAAAATATCTGAATCGTCGATGTTATCCTTTCTTGTATTCATATACATCAGCGTTGATGTGATAATGAAATAGATAATTTCGCAATTTACTGTTTACAATTATTGATTATTTTATAACATTAAAATAATGAAATGTATATTTAAATGGTGTTTTGCAATTCTCAGTACGATTTCATGAATCAAATAATTGTTACGGTTGTTTATCGTATGAGCTAGTAAGATATAACATAAACGGACTGCAAAAATTTCCTACTGTTTATTATGCTGCAATTTTTTTTGTTTTTCGACATGCGAGCTAGAAAAACTCACGTATGTTTCATTTATCATAAAATGATCGCTATTAGTAACAGTAAGTACGTACTATTATAATGAGGTTGGTCAGACGTGACACTCAAATAAGTTATTGTCTAGGTACCTAACTATAATAAATCTAACATAATTCATTTTACCTTTCTAAAAAAGCGACATTATCAGCTATTAGAACTAACTCCTGCTAATTGGAATTTGCATAAAATAATTCTTTTATTTTCAAATTTATGGGATCGTAATCGTTAATGACTAACAACAACAACCGTCGCGTATTACTAAAGCTTAACCTATGTCCAACCCCAACATATAAAATCAATTTTGACTAATATTACCCTCCAAAATGATCCATCATCATAACAATCATAACCATATTAAATATCATTTTAGTATTCATTCAAAAATCAGAACAATTTTTGTTTATTAAAGTAATTTTTCAACCAAAATTAATCCTTTTCATCTTTTTTCATATTTAATTTTTAGAATCATTAAAATAATTGTAAAATAGTTAAAA